TCTCTCTCTCTCTCTCTCTCTCTCTCTCTCTCTCTCTCTCTCTCTCTCTCTCTCCCCCCCCCCCTCTCTCTCTCTCTCCATCTCTCTCTCTCTTTCTATCTATCTATCTATCTATCTATCTATCTATCTATCTCTTCCTCTTTCCCGTCCCTACCTAGTCCTTGTGTGTCTCCCTTATGAGCTGATGTCATGGTCAAACATCTTTGGATTCAAGAGCGTGCGCCAGAGACGATCATTCTTGGCCTTCCACAGTCAGTCGCGGGGTATATCCCTGATGTGGCATGAATCACGGTGCTATGCATTGTGCTTCTGCTCTTGACCTGGCTCCATATCCATTATGGGGAGCCAGTCCGGTTCCTTTCCTTCGGCAAGTCAAGAACTTGGAATACATGGTGAACACTCACGCTTCCTTCCGTCTTGGCCGAAAAAACCCTGGCCAGCATTGGTTGCTCCTGTTTAGGAGGATTGACTGTCCGCTTTCATTACCCAAGTTGTCCTCTCAGAAGCCCTTCTGGATGTGTCAAATATATCACAAAGAACGAGAAAAATTGGGTGAGTCGTCTATCTTGCTGAGACTACAGTCTCAATTTGCCCTTCCCGGGATTGTATCCCTTGTCGTCGTTGCATTGTGCCATTTCTTCCAGGTCAGTTTGTTGTCTGATTCGTGAAAACCCAACAAAACCACAAACCCAACATTTTGTATAGAGTGAAAAAGTAGAAGTCAAACTTCTATCTCTGATTTAAAAAAAAAAGCATTTCAACCACTTCTCGAAAAACGAGGCAAAAAACCGGGCAAACAGTCAAGCGATCCTCAAAATGTGGGGGAAAACTCTTTCTTGCAAAGATTGTGTTATAGGACTGTAAGTCATTCTCAATAGACTGGCAAAAATCAGAGCTCCAATAAAACAAACTCGAAAGTTGAAAAAAAAGAGTTTTAGTGAATTCTTACATGTAGGACTGCATGCTGTTCTCAACAGTTTATATAAAGGAATTTTGAAGTTAACAGTAAAATCCTTGTCAAAAAATGAATGTGTGTTATGTAAAACAAGAGCACAAAGTTCCACAAACAACTTTTGCCTAAGAGATATCTTCAAATTCTCAGTCAAATGCAAGTAAAAAATAAAAAAACGAAGGGAAAATTTGTCTGGCACCCCTGTAATTTGCGTTATTTCCTGTCGCGCCCCTCCGACGGCCGATTTACCCTGTTGTGCCCCTGGGCCAAAAACTATTTTCTGCGGGCCCTTGTCGGTAGCGACCACAACTCTCGAGGACGCCCTCCTTGGACTGACCGTCGGGCCCAAGGCCATATGCCCTCATTACGGGCAGCCATCTTTCTAAAATGCCCCCGCAGCCGTGAGGCACCACAAATCCGCATTTCCGTCGGGCCCTGTGCCATATCGTCCGCTTCCCTGCGTGTGTGTGTGTGTGTGTGTGTGTGTGCGAGAGAGAGAGAGAGAGAGAGAGAG